TCCTCCCCCTTCTCCTCCCTTCTCTCCCTCCTCCACCTCCTCCCCACCAGGGGTATAAACCAACACCTTAGCCTTCATTATCTCAAAGCACACAGAGAAACCTCACACGAGGCCTAATGTCCCACTAATGGGCAGGAGGCTGCCGCCCTTGTGTGCCCGATGGCAGGAGTAATTTACTGTAGCGCCACTTGAGAGCTGACATATTGGAGCTATTGATTTTCCCTGAGGAAGATCAATAAGGGATGCGTGGGGACAGGCAGGTCCCCCACATTTGGAAGGGCAGAGCCTTTCTCCTGGGGACCAAGGCCTGACAGCAGGGGCACGGGCTGGTGCGGGAGGGTAGGCACAGACCTCTGAAGGCCCCTCGAGGCCCACAATGGGAGGCCAGCTGGGACAAGATGCTGGGGCATCTGCTCTGGCCCCAAGCCTGGCAGCCTGAGTGCCTTGGCCCCCGGCCCCACCCAAGGGCCCCATGGGCGCAGGAGGCTTGGGACGCCCAGGCCACTCGGCCTGGCCCTGGCTGGCCACACAACACCAGGCTGGACATATTTGGGCAGTGATTCTAGGATAGTGTTTCTCTCCACCAACCAGGGGTCTCCTCAGGCTGCCATACCCTAATCCAGCACTCTGGAGGCTCCAGGGGTGAATCCCTTTGTTTTTGAGATTCTAGAGGCCACTGTGTTACTTGGCTTGAGGCCCCTTCCACCTACAAAGCCAACAGTTACCCTCTGCTTCTGTCCACACCTCCCCACAACTGGACCCTCCTGCCTCCCTCTGGGAGACATGCCCATGGGATAGCCCAGGACCATCTCTCGTCTTAGAGTCCTTACCTCAGTCACCTCCGCTGGGTCACTTTGCCAAGTGAGATGACATGAAGTGATTCCCAGGGGTTAGGGTGTGGACCTCTTTGGGGATGTCACTCAACTGACCACGGGGGTGCCATCTGCTCGTGACCTGGATCCTTTCCAGGCTGTCCACTGTGCTGGAACACCTCCCCTTCCCCTAGTGTGGCCAGGTGAGAACTTGTTCCTGTGAGTGCTTGCAAACCACCTCCTCCAGGAAGCCCCCTCTGGCCACACAGGCTGGGGCCTTCTGGAGGGCAAGGCTGCATCTCACTTCCCTCAGCCCAGCCCCCAGGCCCAGCCAGGGGTCCAGCACAGGTGAGAGCAGAAGATTGACCCAAATGCCCTCCTGGGGCCTCCACCCAGATTGCATTTCCCTCCTGCCCCTTCAGCCCCACCCTCAAGGGGCTGAGCGAGGCAGGGCAGACCCCAGCCCAGCCTGTCTCCAGCTCCCTCCCAGGTCCTGGCCCTGGCCGTTCCTGATAGCACTGCAGCTACAATTGGGCAGCTGCTGGGGTCCAGCCCTTGGTCATGGGTGGGTCCTGGTGGGCGCTCCCTGGGCCAGCAGGGGGCAGGGGCTGTATGTGGACAGAGAGGGAGCCTAGGGGGTCCCAGCAGCCTGGGGAACCACCAGAGACCCTGACCCCCGCCTTCCTCAGTTCTTGGCTGACATCTTGGTTGTGCTGAGTCAGAGGGAGGCTGGCCATGGCTGCGGCAGGGCCAACCCACAGCCAGGACCTGATAACCGTGTCATCGGACCCCAGCATCTCATGGCAGAACTGTGGCCATGCCTGAGGTCAGTTTCTGGGGAACAGAAAAATCTGAACTGGATTCATGAGACTGATCCTGGCCAGGACTCACTCTGGGGCGTGGTGAAGGGGCTGTATTGATCGGTTGTAATCATCAGCCATAGGGAGACCTGGCATGTCACACAACCATGGAGCTGGCATCCTGCCCCTCTGCCTGCAGCCTTACCCAGGGGCCTGCCATGGCTCTGCCCTCTGCCACCCCTCTCTCTGGTCCTGCTCCAGGCAAATAACGTGGCTGTGAGATACCAGCAGCTTGGAAGACCCACTTGTGGCAGATTATCAGCCTGGACCGGAGTAGATCCCACTCCTGGGGTAGAACTTTTCCTCTCCTGTCACTCCATCAAAGCCAGGTGTCCTGACTACAGGTGTTGGGTCCTGCAGGTGCCTGAGAAGTCACTGGCAGCACTCAGCAGGGGCAGACCCGCCTGGCAGCCCCCACTTGCAGGAAGGGCCTGGGTCTGCCTACATCCCTTGTGTAATTGGATGTCACTGGGTGGGAGAGGAGTCATACCCTCCAAAGAGGGCGGTGGAACCTGGAGCTGTAGGGGAAGGACCCAGCGAGGGGTAAGATGGCATCTGTGACCCTCCTGGCCTCCTGGACAGGTGAGCCTCCACAGCTGGAAGGCAGATCTGGGACCAGGAGTGACCATGGGGCACAGGGGCAGGGCACAAAGTGGGAGGGAGCTGCTGTCCTGTCCCTCACAAGCAGTGGTGGCTTTGGGAGTTCCCCAAGCTGGCACCAAGGGTGGTGGGAGCAATAGACACATCTGGTGACTGATGAGGTGGCATAGTGTCCCCAAAACTCATGTCCTTATGTGGAAACAGGGTCATTGTAGTTGTGACTGAATTAAGATGAGGTCATACAGGGCTGGGGTGGGCCCTCAATCCAAGGACAAGTGTTCTCAAAAGAAGAGGGAAACTTGGACACAGACACCCACGGGGGAACGGTCGCGTGACGATGGAGGCAGAGATTGGAGAGTCGCAGCTGCAAATCCAGGGAGTGCCAAGGACCTCAGGGGACACCAGAGGCCAGGAGAGAGGCAAAACCTGATAGCACCTCGGTTTTGGACTTCTAGGTCCTGGAACCTGGAAAGAATCCCTGTCTGTTGTTCTCAGCCACCCAGTTTGTGCTGATTGGTTAGGTGGCCCTGGGACACTCATGCAGCAGCACTAGCAGAGGAGCTGGGCCTCTAGAAGGACAGGGTTGGCAGGGTGGCAGGCCTCCTGGGGTCCTGCTCATGGTGTGGTGTCAGTTGGAACCTGCCTGGGAGGTGCAGTGAAGACGCCTCCAGGCTGGTTCCTTGCAGCTCAGGGCAGGGGGAAGAGGGAAGGGGAAAGGGGGCTACTGAGCCCCTCAGATGAAGGTACAGGAACCAAACAAAGGAACCAGAGAAGGGAGGTGCCATCTCAGTCTGGACAGTGAGGATGAAGCCCTGGGACAGCGGGAGGAGGGGTTCAACCAGGCTGGTTGCAAAAGCACCTACAGCTCTGGACCAGTGGGAAGGGGCAGGAGGGGGCTGGGCAGGGGCTCCAGGGGCCCCACATGCCTAATAAGCCCACTGCCTAGGCCCTGGCTGGTGGTCCCAGGCCCTCCCTGGCCTTCCCAGGTCCTGCTGCTGGCCCAGAGCCCCCTTCACCTGGAGCGCTGCAGAAGCAGGATGTCCTCTAGAGAAGGCTACTCCAGAAGTCAAAATAGCATGAAATTTAATTTTCCGCCTATTTGACAAGGCTTGGTCCGGGCCCCAATCAGCAGTGGAGATAAGGGTCCTCGGGGCCCGGGTGGGAGCCAGCTGGGTGAGCGGCAAACACTCCACGGTCCCCAGGCAGGCTGAGGCTCCCCCCGCGGGTCTCTGGTTGCCGGGCGCTAAAGCAAACGGGCTCTATTTGCCCAGTCTGCGATGACAATGCCGTCACCAAATATTTGCCAGCCCGGGCCGGCCGCGGAGCTGGGTTATAAATGCTTGAGTCCAGGTGGAGGTGGGCCTGCCCAGCGGGAGCCGCAGGCCTCGGCAGGTAGGAGCCAGGCTGGGTGGCGGGTGGGGAGGGAGCTGGCGGTGGAGGTCTGGCCTCCGGCCTCCTCCTCCCTCCTTGGAAGGCTGTGGGCTCCCTTGCCCAGGTGGTCTTTGGGGACCAACCACCCACTGGGAGGGGTCATCAGCGGGGCTGAGCAGGGCTGGGCTTCAGGACAAGCATGGGCCGGGGAAGAGGGGCACCTGAGTCTTTGCACACAAGCAGCCATGCCCAGAGACCAAAGCTAGGGTCACGAGACACCCCAGCAGGGAAGAGGGGACCAGAACTGTGAGCAAGACCCGCAGCAGGACAGCAGGGAGGAGCGGGAGGCCGGCACAGCTCCCATGACTCCCAGCAATGCCTGTGGACTCCCCTGCCCCTCCCCCGAGACAAGGTGCTGTTTTCTGGCCAACTGGGAGCCCTCTCTCACTCTCTGAACCACCTTCCCTTTCTTCCTCCCCCTGCCCAGGGCTCTGACCAGGAGGCCTCCCTGCTGTTGGGGTGGGGGTAGGGGGCTCCCAACCAAGGAGAGAGCCAGTCCCACCCTGTCAGGCACCTCCTCAAATCCCACCCCTCCCCAGTCCTGCCAGCCCCAGGCCTTCCTTCAGCACCGCCAGCTGACCCACCTGAGTGCCCAGGCCAGGGACACTCACTCCCCTAACAGGGAACCCACAGAAACCTGGGACAGTGGCTGCATTTACTAGAATTAGAAGGGACGGAGAAATGGCTCACCCTCATGGCCCCCTGCAGCCTCCAAAGTCCCCAAAGCTGCAAGGGACAGAGAGTCCCAGTCAAAGTAGCCAAGCCCAGTTCCCGGACTCAGTGTGGGCACCTCAGGAACTCTTACAACCGCAGACACTCGTAGGGGGTGGGCCAAGGGAACCCCCTGTCTCGCCTGGCACCTGGGCAGAACCACATCAGCATGTTTATCAAGAGCCACAGCGTCCCTGAGCTGGGATGTGGGCTCTGCTGCCCAGGGCCTCAAACCCACTTGCATCCCATCCCCTGAACCGGCTCCCTTCTTGCTTCCCTGCTTCTCTCTCTGGGGACTTCTCTCTCCCCGAGTCGTGATTCTATCAGCATTGATTTGTCACTCACCCTCGCAGCAGGACAAGATGCACTACTTGTCTGGCCGGTGACTGCAGCCTCCACCCTGCAGGCTACCCACTGCTCCTGCCATGTCCACCCGCCTGTGGTATCTACCACCTTTGGTCTCTCTCTAAATGTCACCTGCCTCTGAGCTCAGCCCTCTTCCCAAGCAAAAAGGGCCCCACAAGCTGTTCCCCTAGGAGGGCTGTGGGCCCTGACCACTAACCTGTCCCTTCTCTGCCTCCCTCCCCAGCCAGTGCCTGCTGCCCCAGAGGCCCCAGGAGGTGGGGACGTGGAGGAGATGGCTGCAGGCGTGATCCAGCCTCTCTGTGACTTTCGGCTGTCTCTGCCGTCCCACGGACCCTTCCTGCCCTCAGACCCAGAGCCCCCAGACACTTCTGAGGAGGAGGAAGAAGGGGAGGAAGAGGAGGAGGATGGGGAGGAGGAACTGGAGGTCGAGGGGCCAGAGGGCCACGGCCCAGCCTCCCGGAGCTCAGGCTGGGCCCCAGAAGTGGGCCCTCTGGATCCAAGCTGCCCAGAGACACCACTGCAGCTGCTTCGGTTCTCTGAGCTCATCAGTGGCGACATCCAGCGGTACTTTGGCCGCAAGGACAGAGGGCAGGACGCAGACGCCTGTGACATCTACACTGACAGCCACCTGGCTGGCAGCTCGGCCAGAGAGCTCCCCTGCGCTGACCTGGTGCACCCAGCCCAGGGTGCTTCCCCAGAAGACAATGAAGCCACCGAGCCTGGGGTCTGCTCACCCAGGGGCCCTGAGGGGCAGGCACGTGGGCCGGGGATCGGTGGGGATGGGGCGCAGCCACTGGGGCCCCTGGCTGAGCTTTTCGATTACGGGCTGCGACAGTACTCAGGACCCAGGGCACCCGCCAGCCGCCGCCTAAGGCTGGAGCGCAAGTATGGCCACATCACCCCCATGACCCAGAGGAAGCTCCCCCCGTCCTTCTGGAAGGAGCCGGCGCCCAGCCCCTTGGGCCTGCTGCACCCCGGCATGCCTGACTTCAGTGACCTGCTAGCCAGCTGGTCAGCTGAGGCTGGCCCCGAGCTGCTGGGCGGCGGGGCCCAGGCCCTGGAGGGGGTGCAGCTGGCTGAGGCCTAGCGATCAAGCAAGGGTCAGTGGGGGTGAGCCGAGGGTAACAAGGGTCTGGACTCTCCTTATCACTGTCCTGAAAGGAGACCTCGGGGACCTCCAGCCAGGGCAGCCACCAGCAGGACAAGCTGGCTCAGGTCGGGACTCCCCAGGCCAGGGCAGGGAATGGGCATGGGCCCTCCAGGATCTCTGCCCACAGGAGGGGAGGATGGGGTAGGAGCTGTTGTGGCCCCTCAGAGGCAGTGGGCTCAGGGGGTCCACATGCTGTGTGAGCCCCATTCCCCTCTAGACCAGCCTGGGAGATTCCAGTCAGTGGCAAGGGCACCCTTCCACACGGCCCACCCACCCGGCTGGTCCCAGGGCTGCCCCTCCTCCTGGCAATGTCTGCAGCTGGTGGCAGGGCCAGTGGCCCTGAGAGGCCAAGAGTTTCCTGGAGGGTCAGGGAGAGGGGGCAGGTCTGAGTGCGCAAACGAATGCACTGTTTGCTCCTAGATGAAGGCAGAAGAGCCGCTTCCTCTGGGGGTCTGGTTCCAAGTGGGTCTCTGGCCACCGTGCCTGTGGACAGAAGGCCCTGGGGGGAGCGGCTGGGCCTGGGGCTCAGCTGGCTTGGGCGGGAGCAGGAGTTCTGGGAGTCCAGGAAAGGGGCCTCTTAGTCACTCTCCTGCCTGGGACCTCCTGACTCCCTGGGAGAGAATTCTGGACACTGATGGGCACAAGGGCATGTTTATTTTGGGGAAAGGGGTAGGGATAAAAGCCGGTGGGCAGGCTTCTGGCCGAGGGGTTTCTCCAAGACCACTCTGGGCCTCCGCCGGGCCACCAGGTTCATGAGGACCGCCTTCCACTGCAGCCACCTGCCCAGAGACATGGCTCACAGCCCCGGACCCCGCCTCCGCCCACTGCCCTCAGGGCCTCCCCCAGCCCTGAACCTGGACCTGGAGGGGTCTCCAGCAGGTGGCTCCCCACTGCCCACCTCACGGCCTGATACATGCCCCAGCAGTTCACTGGGACCACCTCTCCAGGGCCCACGTCCTTGATGAAGAACTGCTGCCTCACCAGGGACATGAGGACCCTCTTGCTGCCCAGCGTCAGGGCCCAGGGGCCCTCCTCACTCCACAGGCGCATCACGCTCTCCCGCAGTGTGGCCATCTCCTCCATGCGCTGTGGACGTAGGGGCATTGGGGTTGCCGTGGTGGCCAGGGCGGGGGGTGGGTGGTGGGAGTTGACACAGGAATGCAGGAATAGGACCAGAGTGGGGGCGGGACAGTGAACGAGATTTATCTCTTTCTGGGCAAATCCAGGCCTTATCTGCTGGGAAACACTGCAGGGGCCAAACATGCAGACAGGCAGACCAAAAAGCTAGGAGGTGGCCAAGCTGGGGGTAGGGGCGAGGGGAGCTGGGAGTCAGGCTCCACATGGAGAAAGGTGGCCCACCTGGAGGGCCTGGGAGACTCCAGAGCCTCGAGGGTGGGGGTGGGGGTGGGGGTGCAAACACCAGGTCAGGGGCCGCCTCTCACCAGCTTGGTTTCTGTATTAAACTTGAGGTTCTGGATGGTCTTATTATCCTGGATGCTGTTTTCCAATTTCATTATTTGGTTCTGAAACTAAACACAGTCCTCACTTCGTGGACACAGATGCAGGGAGTCTGCAGACCTGAAGGCGGCCCCTGCCTCAATCACTTGGGGTAGAAATGGGCCTCCAACATGCGGGTCCTCGCCTCTCAGTAAATGACAAGGCGGGACCCAGCCAGAGTTCAGGGCTGCACCTTTCATAGTGACTGGTGACGCACTGCAGTGTCTGGGGCTCCAGACAGGTGCTCCCACTTGGTACTTCCAGAGGCTGAGACGTGAGAGCCACCCAGAAGGATGACTGGTTCCATGAGCCTTGCCCCCAGGCAGGTGTCCTGGATCTGAGCCTCCCTGGATGGGAGGAGGTCTGCCTGGGCCCCTCGGAAGGGGTTGTCCCCTGTCTGAGCCAGATTCCCCAGCCCCCTCCCTGAGTGTGCCCAGACCTAGGGGCCCAGGGGTACCGTGGCCAGCTTGCCCTGGATCTCGGCGATCTTCCGCCCGGGGTTGCCCCCTCTGAGCAGCTGCACAGAGGACAGCAGAGAGGCCAGCTCTTGCCGGATGGCCTCAACCTCGAACTTTCTGTGGGCACAAGAGGCCGGGGCTGCTGGGCTGTGGGGGGTACTTGGAGGCAGGGCAGATGGAGGGAGGAGATCCTGGGCAGAGCACGGGATGCTCAGCCTTGTGACCTCTCCAGAGGGGACTGGGGGAGGGGGGTTCCCCAGCAGGTGACAGAAGGGAAAGGCCAGACCTGGGCTGGTGAGGGGTCAGGACTGCTACAGACGCAGGGGATTGGGGAGGACCACCGTCAGGAAGCCCTGAGATGTAGCAGGGTTGCTCTGAGACAGCTGTGCACTCTGAGGTGGGAGCAGCCCAGCCCCTGACAGCCAGCAGAGCTTACCCGCCTCCCCAGGACTGCGGTCCTGCCAGGCTGTGGCAGTGAGCTGGGGGCCTCACCTGGCTTTGGTCTCGGTGGAGATCTTGAGGTCGGAGTCACTCTTGTGAAGGACACACTTGTCGGAAACAGCCTCTATCTGAAACGCGGAGCCGGCAGGCGGCTAAGGGCGGCGCAGCTGGGAAGGAGGGAGGCTGCGCCCCTGGCCCTCACTCACCTGCCGGGGCAGGCTGTCCACTTTCTCCTGCACCTCTCGCAGGTGTGCCTCAGCCTCCTCTCGACTCCGGGCCAGGCTTTCCCGAGATCTCTTCTCTGCGACTTCCCACTCATTCTGTGCCTGGGGTGCAGATACCCAGTGAGGGCCAGAGCCCACCCAGAGAGGGAGGGTGGACAGGCAGCTAGACTGGACCCTTTGGAGCCAGAGTCAGACCCAAGATGGTCGCAGTCATGCAGCAGAGCTCCTGGAGGGCACATGGCTCCTGCCTCGACTCCGAGCATGTCCACACTGACCACACAAGCCCCAGATGGGGCACACTCTGGGGATGCAGATCCTTCCTGGAGGGAGCACCGGACTGAGCAGAGCCACGTCCCTAAGAGGAAGGCCTGTCTCACACCCTCGCCTGAACCAGCCTCAGCTGCCCATGAGTCAGTATGGACAGGGAGACAACAGGAAGCCTGCTCACACATGCAGGACGGGGGACGGGGGCCCGTGCCAAAGGCTGTACACGTGTATTCACAGCAGCACTAAGGGTATCAAAAGGGCAACATCGCAGTGTCCATCAGGGGACAGATGGATGAAAGCCTGTGGTCCATCCACACAATGGAATGTTACTCAGCCGTAACAAGGAAGCACTGACATGCTGCAACACGGGTGAACCTCAAACATGTGATGCTGATCACAAAAGGCCACATAGTGAACTATTTGCTTTACACAAAGTGTCCAGAACCAGCAAATCCACAGAGACAGAAAGCAGATCAGTGGTTGCCGGAGTCAGGGAGGGGAGTGACCGTTGATGACTCGGTGGTGGGGGGGTCCTTTTAGGGGGATGGAAAAGTTCTAAAAGTGATTGTGGTGCTGGTTTTAAAAGAATGACTGAATTATATACTTTGAAAGGCTGAATTGTATGGTGTGTGCACTGAACCTCAATAAAGCTGATAGAAAAAGAGAAAAAAGAACTTAAGGATGGAGGCTGTTTTGCTGGCCCCTCTGTGGAGCCCTTCCTGTGGTTGGGACCCCAGGACCTCTCACCCTGGGCCACCCTGCTCCGAGCAGGAGGTCTGTGGGCCTCAGGGCCATCCTGGGTGTGGTGGACAGCTGTTGGGTGAGCTTGGGATCCGCCACTCAGGCCTCTAACCTCAGGGGTGATGGACATGGCTGGGGAGCATGAGGGGCGCCAGGATCCCCCATCCAGGCGCCCTCCCCCAGGCAGCTCCGTGGCTTTTACCTTGTGAAGCCGCATGCTCAGCGTCTGCTCCTGCAGGTCCAGCTTCCAGCTCAAGGCCAGGAAGTGGTCACTCATGTCCTTCACCTGCTTGACCAGCTCAGCCACAGACACCTCCAGGGCCTGGCTCTTCTCTCGGAGCTGTGAGAGATGGGGCTGAGTGTGCTGCCTGCATCAGTGGGGACCGCACAAGGACAGTTGCCCCAGCACTGCCCCCTTACCAGTTCCAGGGCGCTGTGTGTCTCCTGCTGGGCCAGCTCGCCGGCCAGCTGCATGGCCTCCAGGCTCTCCTGCAGGTAGGTAGCCAGCTCCCCGGCCCTGCTGTCCTCCAAGTGCCCTTTGGCTTCCCTGGGGGTTGGTGCCACTGAGAAAGACTGTCCCTCAGCCAAGGCTGGCAACCCCTCGGCACTGGGCCAGGGCTGAGAGCCTGGCTGCTGGCTTCAGAACCTTCTAGGAAGCCCCAGGGAGGAGATGATGAGTGTCATCACAAGGGCCACCGAGACAGGGCTGTGTCCAATCCTGCCACACAGAGCTCCCCCAAGGGGGACAGGCTCCCACAAGGGCAGCTACTCTGGCCCAGGGTACCTGGCTGGGCCTCATGCTGGGCTCAGGGCCATTCCTGCCCGCCCTACCTTCAGCTCCACTCAGACACCCACCAGGCCTTCTGCTCGGCCAGCAGGACACGGTTCAGGGACACCTGGTTCTGCTGCACGAACTTGGTCAGCTGGATCACTGCCTTGTCCAGGCCCCGGCACTGTTCCAGGAGGTGGCATTCTTCCTGCTGCCATGCAGAGGCAGCCTGAGACCCACCCCAGCTCCCAGCCCAGGCCCGGCCCGTGCCCGCCCCACCACTCACCTGGCACTGTCCCCGCAGGGCCTGCACACGCTCTGCATCCAGCTCCTGGAGCTGCTGCCACCGGCTCTCCAGCTCCTCCCGCAGGCTGCTCTCTGCCCTCAGCCGCGCACTCTCTGAGGTCTTCATCCTCTACCAGGGTACCCAGCCCATCTGCCGTGAGCCAGGTGTGTGGGGGATGTGACCAACCCACCAGCCCGCAAATGCCCACCTTCTCAAGGGCCAGGAAGCTCTTCTGCAGGAAGCCACATAGCTTGGCTTCCCTCTTGAGGAAGCGGAGGCTCATCTCCTCCCCTAGCTTGGTCATCTGGGCCTGTGGAGGAGGGTCTACATAGTCACCACTTGCCTATCCACCCCCACCCACCATGCCATTGCCAACTTGCTTGTTCTCCTGCCCAACCATCTCCATTGGAGGGGGTCCTGCTCCTGTGTCCCCAGCAGGGCCGGCCCGTCGCACCATCCCTGGGAAGGCAGGCAGGCCAGGCACAAGGGCTGTGAAGCATCTGATGGCTGAGCTCCCAGGGGCCCAGGACACACATGGTCCTCACAGCAACCACCAGACACTGCCAGGGAAGGTGACACAGCAGCCACCATATCACACCCTTACCAGGAGCCCGGGGAAGGGTGGCTAAGGGCACATGAGCACACAGTCACGCACATACCTGTGCACAAATGATCTCACACTCCTGCAGGTATGCACATACCTGTACACATGTGTGCATGCACACACTTTTGCCCTTGCCCTCCAGGCCCAGGGTGGGGCCCATCCCGCCATCGGCTCCTGTCCTGCTACACCAAGAGGTCGGGGTGCAGGAGACTGGGGTCCAGGCCCAGTCCGGCTGTCTCCCCTCCTCACACACCCACAGGGCAGGCAGGGCTCTTGCACGAGGCACCCTCTCCGCAGCCACAAGTCCTTCTAGGGCTGGGAGGGATGTCCACAGCCCGCAGAGCAGGTGTGCCCTGAGTCTCCGCCAGCCTCCCTCCCCTGTTTCTGTAAAGAGCCAGAGGGCAGACACTTTGATTTTGTGGGCCACAGGGTCTCTGTCATAACCCCTCAGCTCTGCGGTTCCAGCACAAACACAGTCATGGGCAACAGTAAACGTACGGCCATGGGCTGACAAAACTTTATGCGTAAAACCAGGCAGCAGCTGCAGGGTGCAGACCCCAGACTCGAGGCACACTCGGGGAGAGGTGAGCTGGGCATGTCGGTAATCCCTGGGCTCAGTGCCTCCTGGAGATCCTGCCTTTCAATGGAGCAAAGACACTAAATTTCTCACAGGGCAGTGGACGGGGGAGGCCACCGGAGCTGGGCAGCTAAGCTATGCAGGCAGCAGCTGGGGACGTGGTGCAGTCCCTGGTCTCTATTTGCAGAGCTGATGAGGCTGAGTCTCAAGGAGCTACCCCTGTCCCCTGCCCCGCCTTCTAGGGCTACAGGCTCTGGCCCAGGAGCAAGGCCCCAGGGAGATGTGTCTTCAGGAAGGGACTTCCACCTGGCTTGGAGAGAAGCACCAAGGCTGAAAATTGTTGAGGAAGGGGCTACAGGTGCAGGTTACACAGGGAGGGAGAGGTGGGGGAGCAGTAGCCCAGATGGAACTTTGTGATGGATGGCACGCTCCATTTTGGCGCTGCCAAATCAGCAGTCACTGGCAATGTGGTGCGGCTTGTGTGACCAAGGAACTGAGTTGTAAATTGTCTAAGATGTCAGCTAATTTCAATACACAGAGACATCTGCGGCTGGTGGCTACCACAGCACAGGACTTAGGGGTCAGCCCCCAGGTCCAAACACATGGACAGAAGCATAAAGAGAGTAGAATGTGGGAAGAATCCGCCGATGGAAAAGATGCGGGCTGGGGGACCGCGGGGGTCTCCTGCACAGACCGTCTTGCTGGCAGCTCAGCTAGCTGCCCAGATGCCAGAGTCCTGGCCTCAGGAGTACCTGCATCCTGGCCACTTCCTGGTCCACCCTCTGGCTGGCCTCCTCCTGGCTCTTCTGCAGGGCTCCACAGGCTACCCCTCGGTTCCTTTCCTCCTGCTTCAGTTTCCCGGTCAGCTCAGCCAACCTAGGGGCAATGGCTGCAGGTCACAGCAGCCCAGTGGGCCAGAGGGCTTGGCTGGGAAGACACAGAGAGGCTGGTGGGGCCCCCAGACACTAAGAGTCCTTTTTAGGCCAGGACCAGCAGCTGGAGGGCCTAGACCGAGCGTACAGCCCGCCTGGGTAAACACACCCATTTCCGTGTCCCCACCTGTCATTGAGAGCTGGGCTGATGAGGAAGGTGATGGGGTGGGGACCCCGGGCTGGTCTGTTTTCCCCACAGAGGGTCCATAGGCCCTGATGTCCCTTGTTAATCAGCAGCTTGGATGCCTTCCTGCCTTGGTGACTCACTCCCATTTGACCACTTGGGTTCAGAGACAGCACCCCCGGGGGCCCACCTGAGGCTGGCCTCCTGCTCGGCGCCCTTCCGCTCAGAGTCCTGGAGTGCCTGCTTCCTCCTGATCTGGGTCAGGGCCTCCCGGACCTCCACCAGCCTGGCACACAAAAGCTGCTTCTGCCTGGGGCCTGCCTAGCCCTGCTCTGGGTGGCCAGGAGCAGGCTGGGCAGCCTTTGGAGTGGAGGCTCCACCAAGGGGCCCAGCAACAAGCCTCCCGCCCCTTTCCCAGGCTCCATGGGGCATATCTGCTTGGCTGAGCAAGACATCGAATGGGGGGAACTGGAAGCTTGCGGCTGAGGCCCCAACAGGGCTGGCACCAGCTGGGGTTTCCCCAAGCCCCTTTCCCTCCCACTAAGCCTGCACCACGAGTACTGGGGGTACCTCTTGTCCAGAGCCTGCATCTGGTTCTGGCTCTGCAGGCCGGGGAACTGCAAGGTGGAGGTGTGGGGTGAGTGCAGGCCAGGGCCCTCTCAGCCCTCCCAGAACAAACACAGCAGCGTCACGGAGCCCGACCCTGGGGACTGTCTAGGTTCTCGGTCTGGGCAGAGGGGCTGAGCTGGGCTCAGGGTCCAGGAAACAGCTGGCGGGATACCCGGGGACGAGGAAGCCTGGCCCATGGGCGGGGACACTGCCTTACCTGGAGGGCCTCCTTCTCGGGGGCCTGAGCCACCTGCTGCACCTCCTGCTGCAGCTTCTTGAGCTCTGAGTCCTGCAGCTGCAGGCCAGCCCGCACCTGCAGAAGCTCCCGCAGCAGCAGCAGCGTGGCACGCTCACAGCGGGCTTTGTGTCCCCGCAGGGACGCCACCTCGGCCTGCAGGTCAGCCACCCTGGAAGGGCGAGGAATAGGCCAAGTTGGCTGCATGTGCTGGGGGGTTGGAGGGACTGACCATGTGGTTCCCCTGCCCCTGTGGGGCTCACCATTGCTCCAGCTGCTTCCAGCGCTTGGGGGTGTCCTGTTCCGGGATGGAAGCAGTGGATGCCGGACAGCTGGACTCATACCTCTCCGAGACCTCCTCCAGACTTAAGGGCTCAGGGCTGGCCAGCCCTTCCTCCAGAAGCCCCAGGTCCTCTGGGGTGACGGTGCTCAGCTGGGAGCGGGGCGAGGCCCCTGATGAGGGGTCGCAGTCAGCCAGCTCTGCAAGAAGGCACCTTGGGGCTCGCCATTAGGGCTGATGAGGGGAGCCGCTCCCAGATGGAGCCTGTGGTAATGGGGACCCAAGTCCCTACTGAGTGTGCCCAATGAGCTCACTGTGGCTCATCCCAGTGGGTGACAGCACAGCCCAGGGAGGGCTCAGCTCTCACTGTCCATGGCAGGAAGCTCAGGTTCAGAGCGGTCCACGCTCCCACCTGAGGACACACAGCATTGGGCAGCAGAAACAGGACAGTGCCTGCCTGGTCAGCTCCAGAGGGAGTGCCTGGGCTGTGAGGTGACCGGGGGTCAGGAGGCAGCAGTATATCATGTGGCCCAGACCATTGTGCAGGCCCTTACCTGGACAGCCCCCCAGCTCACCTGATTCAGCTTTACTAGCAGGCCCCGTCTGTGGCTTTGGCCACTGCCGAGAGTCCCTGGGCCTAACACCCCATGGCTGCCCACAGCTAGACCCCGGGGCAGTTGGGGGATGAAGGTAGGGGAGGGTGGAGGAAGGTAGGAAAGTCAGAGCTGGAAGGCCCTGTGGCCTGGGGGAAGTGCATGAAGTGTGAAGGGGTGAGCTCCCACCCTCACATCTCTCCTTCCAAAACAATGCCAACGTAGGGAGGGCAAAGGAGAAGTGGGGGCTCTTCTGGAACCTTCTTTCTCACCAGAACCTCATGATTTCATGGCCCAACTGCCAGTGGAACCTGAGCCTTCAGCTTTCCTGTCCAGCGAGGCCTGCCCAACTGCCCACTTTGGGAAGGACTGGAGGGGGTGTGGCTGCTGGCCTGTGACATAGTCAGGAGCCCCTGGCCTGGCCTGGGTGGGAGTGGTGGGGAGGCCCAGACCAACCGAACACAGCCAGTCCCACCCCCGAGGCCTTGAGGACACAGAGGACCACGGGACGGGGCCTACGAGAGACCCTGCGGAGTGGCTGCCCCCGTGACTCCAGCTTCCCTCATAGCCACAGTGAGAAAGTGAGAAGAGACGGTGGGCTTTATCCTAATAGTCTGTTTTATTTGATCTGGCATAACTTAGGCACCGTCACATCAACACAAATCAACACAGGCTGCGGAGACAGCACATACTCTCCTCACGCCTCGTCCTGGAGGCTGGGTGGGGTGTGGGCCACGTCACGTGTGCAGTCAGTGAGGATACAGGGCCCTTACCTGGCCCAGGTGGTCCACTCTCCCTGCACTGTTGGCCACTCACGAGGGCTGGAGGGGCTTCCCTGTGACACAGTGAACAGCCCAAAGGCAACCACTTGCCTGGGGAGCTCGATGCCCGTAGGCAGCAACACCACACACCTTGAAGCTCAGCGTGTCGGGTACAAGGCAGCTGCGGAGCTGCGTGCTGATGTCCTGGGTGTACCCAAGCTTGGGGCAGGGAGGGTGGGTGAGGACACAGTAGGCCTTCCCCAAGGGCTCTGTGGGACTCCAAGAGCGATCAGGCCAGACATCTGCATGAGGACGGTGGCTGGGGGCCCCCCCTCCTGTGGGACATGGGGAGGCCCCAGGTTCTTTCCCACTTAAGGTCTCTGAGCCTATCACCTGTGTCCCCTCTTCCCCCAAGGGGCATCCACCCTGGGTCACTGCCCATCTGCAATGTACAGAAAGGAGAGTCCCATTCTGGGTCACCCCACCCCCAGAGTGCCTGTGAATCTCAGGATGCTGGACCATGGTCCATACCGAGTGGGAAAGAGGAAGCTGGCACCAGCCGTCTGTGTACAGTTTGTTTATTTCTCCCATTCAGACACCCATACTTGGACCCCTACATTCCCCAGAGGGCTCCCCCACCAGGAAGAGCAGCCTTTCAAGGTCCCCACCCCCTTGAAACGGGCTAAAACCGAAGTGCAGCACCTGCCAACCCACAACAGCACACGTTCCTCATTACAGAAGTGGGCGGGGGAGGGGGCGAGTCACTTTAGAAAAAAAGTCTGGTGGGGCACTGGGGATACAGGATCCCATATCTGGCCTGCCCAGCCCAGGACAGGCGTGGTTCTGCTCTGGGCTCACCAGCCCATCCCAGAACTCACCTGCCCCAACCCTGGAAGCAGAGCTGCTCCAGAACACTGGCTCATGCCAGGGATCCTCAGAGGCTCATGGGGGCCCCCAGGTGCTGAAGAGATCCACCATCCCTGTGCCATCCACACAGGCTCAGTGACAGAGGCAGAGGTGGATTCTGGGTCCAGGTCCACAGCACCGAGTGGGGGTGTGGCCCAGGGGGGATATGTGGTGAGTCTAGGAGTCCAGCTCTGGGGTCTGCTCTCCAGGGCAGTCCTGCTCCCCTAAGCCCTCGCCTCCCTGTGTCCAGCTTGGGTCTCTCTCTGCTCAGACCCAAAACCTCATGGCTGCAGACTGAGCTGAGGGCTGAGAAGAACAAGATCCAAGGCCTCCGCTACAGCCTGAAGTTGCCCAGACACCGAGCTGCCAGTGCTCAGGGTGCAGTCCTTCTGCACTGGCCCCCAGGATGACAGGGGGCACAGAAGCAGCAATGGCTCCATCCTGGGGGCTGCAGCATTTGGACCCACAGGGCTCAGCTAACCAGCTGTTAGGCACATAATCACACGCACACAGACACACGCACGAGCACGCGCAAGCTCTCAGGGAGAGTTGCACAAAATGCTCCCCAGAGGTCAGGGAACAGGGGGCTGGCGCGTGAAAACCGAGGGGCCGAGACAGGAGGTGAGGAAATGGGGGTGAGAATGCAAACAAAGAGCCCACAAGAGTCACACGCTGGCCAGGATGTCCCCAGGGTCTGGATCCATGCTGCCTGGGGAATGAGGTGAGGGTTCCGAGGAAAGTGCCAGGGCTGGATCTCACGTCTGGGCCAGAGAGAGCTCCTCCAGGCCCCCCTTCCCGAGCCGGTACCTGGCCAGGTCCTTCCTGGTCACCAGCCCGACCACCTGTGGAAGCAAAGCCAGGTCACTGGTCTAGCAGCCCCTGCCTCTGTGGACACCCCTGCCCTATGTTTTGGGGGTAGCACAGCCAGAGAGGAGCCCCAGGAGTAGGCATGTGGGCCTAAGCAGCAGGTGAGCCAGGAACACAACCCCTGCTGGCAGATGCCCCACCCCTGGCGCTCACCTGATTGCGGTTGTCCACCACCACCAGGTGCCTGAGGCCCAGGGCTCGGAACAGCTTGAACACCCGCGGGAGGGACGCCTCCTGCAATATGGGGACAGCCTCAGCTCACTGCCAGCCCCACCCCACCAAGACTGGAGCAGAGGCAGGACCCGCCACCACCCTTACACGGCCCACTGGTGCCAGAATGGCACAAAGTGAACCACTACCTCTCCTCCACACCGGAGGCTCTGTCTTGATTTGGCCTGGGATATCCTACTCTGCACACCCCCCCACCCCCCATACTTGTGCTCTGAAAGAACTTGCCCCGCAGCCCCCCTGCAGCCCAAGCAGGCACCTGGGGCACTGTGTAGGGGGAGGGGTTCATGAACTCGGAGAGGTCCATGGTGCACTCCCGCTCATCCTGGGACACGTGGATGGACTGGATCGGGGGGAAGCGTGGGTAAGCATCACGAAAATCCTTCAGTCTCAGCCGCCGCCGCACCAGGCCCACATTGGACCGTTCCACGAACACCTGTGGGCAGAGGGCGGCAGGCAGCGGGCAGCAGGTGGCGGCGCCTCAGAGCCTCAACACCCCACCAGGCGTCTCCCGCCACCTGATGCCCTACTTTGTGCTTCAGCAGGACGATCAGCTGAGAGCGCAGGATTAAGCCCTGGAGCCGGGCTGGCTGCGGAAGAGAGAAAGACGCTGGTGTCTGTGGGGGACCTCGCACCCTTCCTGCTGGGTGGGTAGAGGGCCCAGGCAGCAGCACCAGGACGCCTGGGAGCTCCGGCCAGGTTCCCCGGCGATGCTGGTCACCAACTACAGACTAGGCCACAGGCGTTTCACCTGCACGAGCTCACTTATCCCTGAACGCCTAGGAGAAGCAACAGAACCGCTGAGTAGGGATGAGGTGCTGAGAGTCAAGTATGCCGAGAATGAGAAACAGACCCAGGACCTGATGAGACTCGACCCAGACAACAGAAGCACC